TCATCTCGGAGAGGCGGCCATAATGCCGAGATTAGTGGGCCGCCCATGACGGATCATATAGGCGCCCAATCAAGAAACCGACCGCATACCGACACCCCAAGAAACCTACCATTAAGAAAGCCGTTTCAGGAGAACCACAGCCACAGCAGTAACTGTATTCCAAAGAAATGTCCCCTGTGTAGTTCTAACATCTTGTCGGTGATGTTTGAATGATATAATCGCCTATCTTCACATGCAACAGACTTCGCGCATTGGGACGCGAAAAGCCTACTTAAAATCTACATCCTTGGAATGACGTACCCTTTCAGATATTAACAACAGATAGCTGGATACGGTACCTGTGACTTTTGAAGAGCAATAAATGTAACAGAACCAGGTGATATGATCAGATTAGGTGATCTTGGTGGTACTCTATCATTAGGTGATAATATATACATCTAGAAAGTAAGTTTTACAAATAGTTACTGTCTTTTAAATACATACACATTTATTAATGTTAAGCACTGCATTTTTATTTTCATACGTTCATTGTTTTGAGATCTCAAGACAATTAGTATCCAGCAGATCCAACGTTGTTGTAATTACCAAAATACAATATTGAATATTGTCTGTAAACGTTTAAGTGGATATCTGAACTACTTAATAAGCACAGTAGACCCCTAAGCCTAGCCCAATGACAATGCTTGAAAGAGAAACTGACTGTAGATGGTGCTGTCTAGAATATACACTGAGTACCAAACCTCTAGAGGCTGCTTTGCTTACCAATTCACCAAACACGATGTAAATTCAAGACTAGAAAGCCCCCCCCAAAAAAAAAAAATAACCTGCGAGAGAACATTAAGTTATCTAGGAGTCGTGAGCCCTGCTCAGTCCACCCCTGGATATAGCTAATTGATGACCAGGTTCAACCGAGATCATATTTTGCGTTACTGCCGATTGTTCATCGACGATTTAGGGCAGACGACAAAACAATCAGAACAAGGACTCTTTAGTAATGCGTGGTCTGACAGAACTGTTGTGTTACCTTACACTAAAATGTAAAGTAATATACTTCAAATTCCAATATAAGATACCGTTGTATTGCTTCTTATATTATTCTGTTATTTAATGGTATTAAAATTACTGGTCATAGTACAACCCGTTTTGGTGATATCTTAAACGTCATTGATTCAGGTCTAAATAAGCATTAGGCCTACATTGTATTGACTTGGTGTGTTTTTGTTGATTAGTGATGGGGCAAGCTGTATATGACTAAATATCTGTGATAAATAGTATCCTTGTTTAACCAATTTTGGTTTAAATTTTGGCTTACTGTGTTGAGACCAGCTTCATCTATAGACAAAACTCTTAAAACAAATAAAATTTCACTTTTGACCCAAAACAAAGAGGACTAGCTATTTTAAAGTTTTTAGTATAGTAAGAATGAAATATTAGAAATACCTGTAAACCGGCTGCTTCATATATTCCACCAGGGCAGCCATGTTGGTGTATATCAACTATGATTTCCAGTCCAGCATTGGTGCCTCCAATATCTGATACAAAACTCCCATTTGTTCTCTGATATTTGGCACCATTGAATTCAAAACATAGTCGATCGGGCAGAGACATAATACGAAGAACGGCCGAGGGCTCTAGGTATTCGTCATTCCATCTCATTTGTAAAAAGGTCTCTCCAATGAGCTTAGGTGATTTGTGTGTCAGGGCTCTTAAGAACGAAACAGACACATTGGCATTCAGACTCGTTAAATTCCCCCGAAGTGTGAGCCAGGTACTACCAGCCATAATAAGATTTTGTAGTTGTTGGCTGCTGTTGGCATGGCGTGGTATGTTCAATGGACACATTGAGCAGAATGTCAAGGTGGGGAACTCGAGAGATTTATTTTGGTTTACTTTAAAAACTGTCTTTACCGAGTATCGATTCACTATAAGGATTAACTCTACAGATGTATAAATGAAACCAATTAACGAACCAAGAACGACCAAAGCCCACAACCACCTGCAAAAGGAGAAAAGATCAAAGTGTTCATTATTTTGAAAATCTGTCCGAGAAATTCTAATATCGTCAATTGCTGTTCTGTTTCTATATAGGGACACTAATCTTTCTTGAAAAACTGATGACCTGTTTTATATATAATCTTCAAAAAATGTAGGGGATATTCAGAAAAAATACAAAACTGCAGATATCCACTGCTGTTTTCATTAGAGGTAACCAATGTATGTTACTAATAGGCCAATTGCCATGAACATAAACAGTTCATATGGGCGGCTTATCTGACGGCCCCATTTCACTCGCAAAAAGAGATACACTGTTAAAAGTGAAAATGGACGTTTTTGATTTTTGTCTTAATAATGAGTAATTGCTCCACCAATCCTCCGACATTCAGCAATTCGTCGTGGCATGCTCCTAATCAAACTTCCAATCACGATTTGGGCCAACTGACCCACTCCTCTTGCAGTGTCACGGCCAATTCTTGCAGTGTTGTCGGTTGACGTTGACGTTGACGTTGACGTCGACGAACACGTCTCCCGATCATGTCCCAGACATGCTCTATAGGGGAAAGGCCAGGATTCATGGCTGGCCAAGGCATATAGACAATATGGTGACGCTGGAGGGGGAAGTCATTCACGACACGAGCGCGGTGGGCACGGGCATTATCATCTTGAAAGATGAAACGTCGACCTCCACGTTGAGCAAATGGCAGAACTATCGGTGCCAGGATGTGGTCACGGTAGTACACACCAGTGACCCTTCCTTGAACAATATGCAAGTCCGTTCTGCCAGTCATGGTGATTCCTCCCCAAACCATAACAGACCCACGCCCGAATCTGTCATGCTGTCTGACGTTAACGTTAGCATGACGCTCATTTACACGCCTCCAAACGCGAGCACGCCTATCGGTGAAATCCAAAGTAAATCTGGTCTCATCTGAGAACATTACACGCGCCCATCGACGATTACCCCAATTTTTACGCTGCATACACCATTGACGCCTGTTTGTCATGTGCTGGCGAGTTAATGGAGGAACAACACACGGTCGTTGGGCTGTAACTCGAATTCCTGTAACTTGGTACAAGTTTACAGAAAGCTGATTGGCCGTTTGTCCTCGATTTCACAGCACCTGTGTACGAATGTATCGATCCTGGGCTTGTGTAGAGGCTCTAGGACGTCCTGAACGAGGTCTATCGTCAACATTGTGTGTTTGTTGGTACCAGTTCCACAGTCTGCTGATCACAGACTGTGACACATTAAGCATGTTGGCTACTGCTGGCTGTGTAGAACCCATTTGAAGCATGTAAATAGCACGTAGACGTTCATCATGTTGAAGACGTTTCATTGCAAATTAAACGTAACACATTAAAGCAAAGATACGCTAAACAGTAAATCTTATGCAAGACCTGATAGGAAAGCAAACATGGATAGGATAAACCAGTTTTCATAAAACCCCTCCCACGTGTATGGCGCTATTGCGTGTCGCACGGGCAGCTCAGTGGTGCTGTTGGGGCGATAAGTTCTTCATCTGTGAACATACCCTCAAAGCATGTCAAGTGTCCATGACTTTGACCTGCATAGGTAGTTGCATTTCAATATCACCTACTTTTTTTGAAGAGTGTATTTGAGAGGATCCCGTGGTTAGTTATTTGACTTCCTCATTTGCAATACCTGTACCCGTGACTCTGTTGGTAGATGTTTGATCTTCCCCTATCTGCCCCCTCTGTGATCCAGTTTTAAGCGATCTCCCAGTTTAGCACGGATTGGGGTATACGTACGCTTATTTTCAGTTTTTATTTTATTCGGGGTGAACAAAGCTATCTCAACCCTTTCGAAGATATAAACTTAGAACCAAAGGCATATGAGCAAAAGCCATCTTACCTTATTGCCAATGGCCGAGATTTATCCGAAATACTTTTAAAGCCATGTAAGCTTGTATCCCCGGAAAACCTCTGCCATCTTGTTATGGGGATGTCCTGAACGTTTGCGTCTGCTATCTTCATGTTCCATTTAAACTATTTTTTTTACAAGAAAATGAGTTGATAGATTACGCTTGAATTCAATTTCAACTATAATCAAACCCTTTGTCTCATATGCGGTGCATTTTTATAAAATCAATCTCCATACCGTTATCTCATTTTGAGTTCTTTTATTTGGACAAATACATGATCGAATGGGTAAACTTCAATTCTCTTAAATCATTATTATTGGCAGTCTATTGATTCTTAAAGAACGTGTGTATAGGACCATTGTATTTGCATTATGCACTCGTGAAAATCACCCTAGTCACGATTATTATATGCCAATTAACATAAGAGCCATATTTACATAGTCCATAATTATTTATTAACATTTTTTTTTAAAAGATCGTTTAAAAACCAAACATTTGACCCTGCGATTTTGGATACTGGAAATAAGTTTAAGATTTTATAGTATCTTAATTACAGAACAGACCAGATTTGCCGAGACTAAATTAGTGTTATTTGAAAGGCCTGTTGGGCACTTGACACAAACTGGATTATTGGGACTCACTTACGGCTCAATTTTATTTCAATAATCCACTTGCGCATAGGGGTCTTTAGCGGTGGATGTAAACCGGAGGGTCCAGGTGGTTGGACAGGCGACCCTACTCCTTGTCATGTAAAACTGAGAAATCGAGACCACACCAATCGACTCAGTGATAGACCTTATGATCTAAAGCGCACGCTTTAGACCATTCGGACACCCAACCCGGACCCAACTGAGGGTAGATGAAATAGAATTCAATACACTTTGAGAAGTTAGCTACTAGTACTACGTACATAATTTTTAGAAATGAAAAAGAATGTGGTGGACCTAGGCGATGGCATAGGAGTGAGGAGGTGGTTTCAATTTAATTGAAACTGACATAACGCATGCTTAGTAAAAATATTGAACAAACAAACACAATTCATTTCTAATTGTATTGTATTTTAATATTATCTTTAACATTATTCTTGTTAACGTATTGTATATCGTGTTATAGATTATAATAATTTGTTCAGTGACAGTCTGGCGTAGTCCACCTTTTTTCACTTCGTCAATATCGCATTGTACCTGGAAGAAAAAAGGGAAATGCATAACGAATTCGATAAATAAATAAATAAACGTTGCTTAATCAGCAGAATGTTTAGCTAATCTATAAAACATTTGATTTAATTGGTATATTATCCATGGAAGGTATCTGTGAAATACGTTTTTCATTCATTAATAATTTAAAAAAGAGAAGTACTGCTAATCAATGTATATGGCTAGCAAAAAATGGATTAATATCCATACTTCTTTAGATCGATCAAGTTATTGCCATTTTAAGTTTACACTGGATTCTATTGATTTCCCATCTCTTTACCGCTCTTAGACAAATATGATGGTATTTTGTATACTCAAAGGTGTTTAAAAACATAATACCAGTAGTCTTTAGTGCGTATTATCGACGTTTGAAATACATGTATATGTGACATATGAAATTGTTCTAAGTTTAATATTTTAGTATTTAACATTCTAGAAGTATAATGCATTAATTTTCAATCTGTTTCTAAAATTTGTACTTCCATTTGATTTTAAATATTTAAATAAGCTAAAGTAGGACTATGACATACGGTCCCAAAAATTATATGGTCATTGCATGCATATAGCATTTGATAATACGTGAGAAAATGAGTTATTTTTACCTTAACAAAATCTACACGACTTTTTACACACTTTTTCAACATATGGTTTGTAAAGTCCAGTTTCACAGTATCTCAACTTGGACCAATATTCACACGAATTGTGTTCATCTTCGCAAGCTCCTTTTAATACTGAAAATTAAATTAAAAAATGTATTTAGATTGAGCAACCACGTTTTCGTTGGACGAGCTATAATGATTGTTAAGTTCCAACTTCGTCTTGGGTAGCCTCTTGGATACTGATGAAGCCCACCATTTGTTCTCACCTTGCGGGATCTCCCGAAGTTATTGTCCATTCCTGCAATTCGTTCCGAAATGAAGAAAACCGCAAACTTGTGGGATGTTAACCCCCAACATTGTGATACGATTTGAGAATTTCAAAAGATACAGTTTTCCGCGAAAAACGCCCAATAACTGGCTTTCAGGTCAATTGGAAGCTGGAGTAGTTTGAAGAAATATGGGTACAGATTCAGAGACCTGTTTGAAATGTGTTTATCTTCCACATTGTTACTCTATCCAGCAATCAAACCAACATTCAGACAATTTTCTATTACAGGTAATCAATTTTATCTCTTTGATTCAAACCTGTCTTATCTTGAACAAATATTTTATTCCTAACAAATACGTTTTATCTCACGACCATCGCGTTAACGTGGATGCTAAAAAAATACAATTCAAACAAATTTTTAAAAAATAAATCAGTGTTTTATACCGCAATGTTTAATATAATAATAATAATAATAATAAAAAAATCATTAGACATCTCAAGAACTACATTTTAACTTACTTGAACACACACCGCATGACTTCCTGCAATTTCTAGTCATGTAATTTATATAGGAAGGATGTTGACAGAAACCCCGGCTAGTCCACCCAATACATGCTTCTAATCTGTCATTACACAGATCTGTCTCTGCCCCTTTAAAAGATCATAAATATAATATATATTATAAACCCGCATGACTTCCTGCAATTTCTAGTCATTTAATTTATATAGGAAGGATGTTGACAGAAACCCCATCTAGTCCATCCAATACATGCTTCTAATCTGTCATTACACATATCTGTCCCTGCCCCTTTAAAAGATGATAAATATAATAGTATAAACAATCAATTAGAACCACCCAATAATACATCATATATCGTTATGTCTTCAGGAACTCTGAAAAAGGTAAACAATGCTATTATAAATAATAACCATTTTGGTTTGCTGTTATAGATGCATTATTTCATAATAGGCAATTGACATCACATTATATTACATATGTTTATATAATTATGGAATTATATCAGAGGCTAGAGCAGCATGGCACATCATATACTATAATAGCAATGCATATCAGAGCATAATGGCAAAGTGTAAACATCATAGCACAATATGGATAAACCAGATTACAACATAAAATAGCTATGTAAAATAAGCGTGTGATAATGATTTTGTAATGTATTCTAGGACGTCTTAGGACATCGAAATTTTCTAAATATATGCATTATTGATTATTGGAAATAAAATAAGTAAACTGGACAATGATAATGTCGATTACCTGGGCAAGAATTACAAGATCTCGGACAATGTTTTCTTAAATAAGCTTTATATACATCGTTGGTACAGTACCCGCTGATTTTCCATGAATCACACAATCTCTGTGTATCGACACATTCAACTTTTGTAACGGTCTCCTTTTCTGTGGCTGTCAGTGGAAACCATAACGTTAGGAAATTCAATATAATGATGTTTAATTTACTTTTTACTTATGACAACCTAACAAATAGGTTATTTATTTATGGATATGAGTTTGACTTAACATTAAAAATTATGCGCTACAACCAGATCCAGGTGGTTTGTTTATACTCCAAACCAGATCAGCGTAACCTGTTTCATTCTAACGCATAGGTAACACGTCCATTGTCAGCCAGAGTTCCAATAACAATTTACTAACAATAGTAAACAAGTTAACTTCTCCTCTATATTTAACTGAATACATACCTATAGAACATGCCTCATCGGTACTTAAAATACCAGATCAGAATTCAGCACTTTATTTTGACTTTATCAAAGTGGGTTAGTGCTTTAAACTCTATAATTAAATTTTATTATAGCGTGTTGCCCCTTACACGATTTACAAATCAGAGATAAATTTTACATTAGAAGTTTATACTTAGTCATGTCCCACTAAAATTAAGAACAAAAAGGTCTTTTAGTGTGTTGACATACTGAAATATATCAGATGGTTCCTAAATAGAAACGAGTTCCGAGTGAATCACCGTTTTAATAGTATCCTTGTGCAAAATATTAAAATAGAAGTGGATGAAAACCGTAGAGCTAATTTTGGAACCACTTAGGAAATATCTTTTTTATATATATTTCATCATGAATGAACGTCTGCTAAACTCAATATTAAGAACATAACTTGTCAACCAATTGTTCTAAAACATGAATCATATTGTCGTTTAACAAGGAGAACGACTTACCCCCCTGATCTTAAACAAGGCACCAACAGCCTTAGTCAGGATGGCAAACAGCGCAATAGTAGGTTTAGGAGTGTTACTAATTCAGATTTGACACATAGTTAGTAATTCTAGAAAGCCAAGTTGGTGATAAAATCCCTACATTTCTGAACAGTAAAGCGTTTACACTATTTTTGAGACAAAGACAATTCTCTAACATGTATAGCGTTTATTATTTAAATCCTACATTAAATTAGAATACATAATATATTCAATAAATTTTGCATTTTGCTGTGATGTTAATCAGGCTTGAAAGTTTTTAAGTTTAATAGGTAAATTTTATAAGGTGTAGTTGGTAGGTGGGGGATATGAAAATACTTACATGTGCATATACCACACGTTTTCTCACATTCTTTCCTTACATGGGCCGTGTAAATACCGACTTCACAATAACCCTTTTTCTTCCAGTTAATACAATATTGAGAGTTGTCCGAACAGTTTGCTCGAGCATTTTCAGCATTACCTATATAAAATTCTTAATAATTAAATATTAACTAGAAACAATTGGATTTTCCGCTTTTGATTTATTCAAATCAACTGCATATATATCAGTTTATGGACCAAAGAATAAAAATCAATGATTTTCACAGAGTAAGTTTATTTGTACTTTTGTTTTGAAATATTTTTCCCAATGAGACATGGCAGGATTAACAAGGCAACTTTATATACCAATAAATAGACAGACCATTCAAGTTACATTCAAATGTAGGTATTAAAGAACGACTATATATAAAATGTAAATGATTAAAGTTGATGAGTATAATTTACCTATATTTTTACACATGCCACACGTTTTCTTGCAATAAAGTCGCATGTAAATTCGATTAGACTGACAATTACCAGAATCTTTATATAACATACAATTTTCTTCTTCATCATCGCAATACTCCCCATCTGTTGATCATGGTTTTAAAACAATATTAAATCAGCACAATTCAATTACAATATAAACAGTAATCATTGTTAAATGGAAATAATTCGGAGCTGCCAGCAAACATTAAGATTAAGACTATATAATGAAATTAATGCTTTAAATATAATAAATTCAGATCAACATGCGCTTACATGCATAATTAAAATGCACCCTGCTTGCATTACGTTTATAATACAAGCAGTCTACCTTACCTGGCACACAAAGCCCTTCTACAGAACACTTCATAGTGGGGCATCCCGAACAAGGACGTCCCACTTGATACAAAATTTCACCAGGTATATTTCCCCTAAAAGTAGTATACAATAAGTATTAATTCAATTGACATATTTCCACATTTTTTGCTACACATTTGATGAAGCCAAAGTTCTTTGCACTCACATCCTCTAAAAAATTTTGAGAAGGTAGACTAAGGCGCGCTAGGCTCGTTATCTAGAGAAGTCATGGATTAGACTTCATGGCCATACAACACAATGGCCGGGGTCACCTGTCTAACTTCGTGGGGATTTCTCCGGGTACTTCGGTTTTATTCCACCCCATAGAGCCCTTGCTCAATGTACCGTATTTCAGTTTAGAATGGCCTAGTTCCTATTAAGTTAAACACCTAGGAATTATAACCCATACCCCGAGAACTTGAAAATCATTTGATGTTAATCATGTTTACAGCGTCTCAATACTTACATAGGGTCATATTTACAAACAATCCACCAAGCATTGACCATATTCAGTTCTCTTAAAAAAGAACATCTTTTCATCCCGCACCCCAATTGTCGTGTTTTATGCCACACCACCTGTATAAGAAAAATAAACTAACATGTGCATGTTGAACCCCCTAGATACAACTACAATAGAACAATACACATTAAAGTAATTATGGCGTATTAGCCAGACATTATTCCATTGATACTATCAGCCTATAGGATACCGTTTTAGATAGACTTATATTACAAGTTGGGTCGCTATATAGTAAAAAGCGACAGGGGGAGGGGGGTCTTAAAAAATAGCATTATAGGTCGTATTAATTAAAATGGACGACTGAGTCCATCGCGTCTACTAAACACCATGCCAACAGCATAACAATATGCGATAGTACTTCCGGTCAGAAGCCATCAATTGTCAAATTTACCATGATCATAGTATGATAATAGCTCGATATTTACCAACGGTAGCTAAGGATAGAGAAAGGAAGTTGCGAAACTATCGTCCCGTCATTGTACCATGCACTGTGCAGTGTATGTCCACTATTTCTATAAGATACCACTTGTTTGTATATTTCCAATTACTGTATTGTGCACCGTGTAGATTATGCACACCATTTCTAGAAGATACCACTTGTTTGTAAAGTTCCTATTGTTAATAATCATATACATGTAATTCGTAAAGCTGGTAGCGGTTATCATGGCCCACGCCATCAGCATGGGCTCTTGGGATAAAAGAATACCGTAACGTTGCCAATTAGTTACCTGTGTGTAATGACAGGAACCAGTACGCATACATTCTCTACTACCAGGTCTATGATCTTTCTTCTCATCCATCCAGTTATATACTGCATTCTCTATAAGACCTTCAACAGTGAACTTTCTTGAATCTGCTGCAAGGTTTTCGCCATATTCATCGGTACTGTGTTCAAAAATACAGCTGTTGGCCATCTCTTGGGACTGCCTTTCTAAGTCTTCATCCCAAACCTATAACACACACATTTCTTATATAAACTTAAAGAATAAGACAAGATTGACTGATAAATTCCTAAAATTAATGAGTTTATATTTTATTCAGCTTCGGCTTCTAAATTTAAGTCCAAACTATCCTACCGTTTAAGTCTGAATAATAGCGGGTGTTGTTCACGCTGCCTGGTATGCTTATCCTTTCAAAGCACTCGATAACACTTGAAAAGGATAAACTAAACTTATGAACAACCCACAGTGTAAATCGTAGATGCAAACTAACAAAATACTTTCCCGGCCATGGTTGGTTTCCTGATCGACAATTATAAAAGAAGTTCAAATAGCAGATGCTCAAATGTACACCCTTGGCCTTCATTTAGTTAGCCAAGCCGGAGCAGAACAGTAGGACGTTAAACTCCATTTCATTTCATTTCCTTCATTTGGATTTTTGTAGTCGTAAATGGGTATGATTATAGTACTACACTTCCTACATCCTTTTAAGAGAGAGAGAACGGGGATTTAACGTCCACTCGACACAAACCAGGTCATTTCGAAACTAACATTTGGTTCAATTTTATTTCAATAATTCGCTTGCGCGTAGGGGTCTTTAGCAGTGAGAGGGAACCGGAGAAAACCCACGAGGTTGGACAGGCGACCCTACTCCTGGTCACGTACAATCGGGGAATCGAAACCACGCCAGTTGACTCAATGACAGACCTTATGATACAGCGCGCACGCGCTAACCATTCGCCCTTCCCCTCACATCTTTTTAAGACGACAGAGTAATATATAAATATTATTATTTAATTTATTTCGTAGACGTCACCATATGTTTGGCGCAATATAGCCCAGTTGGAGCTGACGTGCCATAAAATCACATTTCATTCATTCCATTTATTTACATCAGAGTTGAGGCAAACTATATAATTTATAGCAAAAGAACAAAACAAATAAGTACAACTTACTAATTTGATCATGTCACCCGCTCCTTCTTTGGCTCTGGCATCATTGTGCAGCTTCAACACCAAATCTCGATACCGAGCTTCCATAGACATAACAAAATCCATGCATAGATAAATGCTAAAGATATGAAGGAGTGAACAGAATGTAGGCCTATTCATTTTATGAGTCCCTGAAGTCAAAATTTCTTGATTACCCGTAAAACTGATGAGTAAGAATCTTATATAGAAAATCTTGCACAATTCTCGGCATATGTAAACAGTGTGTTGAACTAAAACGACCCAATTTTACAATACTTAAAACACTGCCGGCATAATGACCTATCATTCAACGACCTCAGTACTTTGTTGCCCTTTCTTTTTTTTCATTCATTAAAGGCTACAAACAATGACGTACTAGTTTTTCTACAAAAATCAAAATACAATTAAATCTTGTAAGTGTTACAAGGTCGTAGCCAAACAGTAATCTACCAAGTACAATCCTGTTTTTTATACCAAAATCTGGCATAAAGAGGTGCAAAAAGTTCCAAGTGTACACTTCTCAAAATGCAAGTTACTTATTTATATTGTACACTAGTTAACATATTTATATTTATAACAAACAACATCACACACAGATGTTTGTAATGGTAAAATGAATATGTTTATATTGATTGTTTGCTTAAATCTTTCTTGACTTATTACCACCCATGCATATATCAATCGCAACTAGTTAAACTACCACTGTTTATTCCGGTAGTGTGTACTCGGCAATTCTCCATAATTTTCATATTTCTAGTGCGTCTTTCTTCTTATTCACTGCTAAGTTTGTCTATGTTTTTCATTTTGAGTGTTATTAAATACATACTGCAAACCTCCGTCCTTTTTGGAAAGATGTGATAATGTTATAATCTTTCCTTTAAGTTGAATTTCAATATTAGATCCAAATCTGAATAACATCACTTAAATATATAATCTGAATCACTTGCATTGCCATTTGCATTATGAACGCTTGGACACGTTTACTGACCAACGAACAAGTCAACGTTCTGCCAGGAGATGCTAAATAGTTTTTAACATGTATGCTAATTGATTAATAAATAAATACAAAATGATTACACATGGCTTATCAATAACGAATTCGGGGCATAATAGGCAAACAAACATTGATACTAAATCTTTAATAATTCGAACAAGCAGGTCTAGTGGAGTGCGCAATAATTTGACACCAAGTGGTCAGTTCTGCAGATATTGATTAGCAAGTTCCAAAGCTCAAGTACCAAAGGTGTGTCTGATTCTCTAGAGTCAGTTTGTTTTGAACAATCACATTTCTCCATATTATCTATAGGGGTCAGTCTATTTTGGACAATTACAGTTCTCTGTTCTACTATCCGAAAATACAGCTACACCCCATTTTTTTAGAAATTAGCCTATGTATGCAGCTCTACAAAATGTTGAAAATGGATGTACAATCCCATTGATAGCGAGCGACTTTGTCTTCGAATCGATACTGTCTGTATCTGAAACACAAAAAATTGAACAGCAGGTGACGGCAGGTGCTTTTTCCGAAGCTTAGTTGTTGGAATTGATTCACTTCAGAATAAAATTTCAGATTTGTCAAAACGCATTAAAGTCGGTGGTTTAATGTCTTAGGTCATACCATCAATGTGTGATAACTACATGGAAAATAAAAGGCTTAGTTTGAATACTGTTAGCGTCGATATGCCAAGTCACTTACAATACTCATCTAAGACAAAATTGCTTCCATTGCAAAACCACTGTCTCTTCCTGGAGAGCTGGAAATTATTACAGCAAGTAAGGTTCTGAAACGACCCATTCGCGTTTATAGGAATGGTACTATGATTGCCAGATATGGAGAAGAATTTCAGTATCCATTGTATGCCCAATTTTCTAAGGTTGGAACTGACGTGGGCCATTACGATTGCTTGTTACCAATCACAGAAAGTCTTGAAAAGTGTTGTTCACTAATAATAATATAAATTTGTACGACCAATCATTGATAGTCTCGTCCGATTCACATGTAACAAAACAGACTCTACCCAAGAAATCCTGGAAATAATACAAGAGCTCTCACCAACTCCTAAGTAAAGGCCAAGCTATCCAGAATAAGGAAAGTCTAATCCGCGGCTTTAATAACATCCTCACCATATAAGTTATAGATGGAGAAGAAAATAAAATCAAAGAAAATTTCGAAATCAAAACCAAAGATCTCAAAGGTGTTTGCGCGACCAATTAAAACCGTTTGCAGAGATGCCAAAGACGGGGATTCTGAAGAATGGGCAATGTTTCATTTGTGGCGAACTAATTCGGATGATATTTGAACTAGCCTACTGTTG